TTTAGTTGTATACTTTTAATGGTGCAGTCAGGAGGACTCATATAAAAATCGACCACATTTCCCCATACCAGCAGTATTAGGAAATGAAATTCAGTAAAACATAACAGAGAGAAACATCCATGATCATTTAATGCTGAAGAATACAGATACTGACGACTCCTGAAAACTATTGCTAAGAGAAATTAAAGAAGACCTAAATAAACAGAAATATACATTATATTCATAGATTGGAAGACACTATTTTTAGATTGTCAAATCCTTGTTCTTCTGAATAGTATTGCAGCTGGCATTTGGGGGGAGGTATAGTTTTGCAGGTGAATTGTAACATATAAGTGGAAATCAAAGTATCTCAATTAGCCAAGACAGAGAATTAAGTTGGAGGATTTACTCTACTAGATTTCAAAACTTAGGTTAAAACTACAGTAAGTAAGACACTCTACTGGTGTAAGTAAACAGAACACAAATGAATGAAAGAGAAAAGAGTAGAAAAGTTACCCACACCCATATTCAGTTTTTTAATAAAGTCACCAATATGCATCACGGGGTAATGATAGACTTTTCTGAAAAATATCTGTTGTGATAAACAGTATCAAGTGAGAAATTATTAATACATTGGGGAAGTTTTCAGTAAAATGCAGTATAGGTGAAGGAAACAGCTAGTTGAAAGAACCTGACAGAAGAGTGAACTAGAAAATGTGGGCTGGGGTTTCACAGTAGAAGGGACGCTACCTGGGTGTGGCTCCAGCACTTACAGCAAGGGGTCTTGGCCCGTTAGAGACCCTCTCTGTGCCTCAGTTTCTTCAACTGCAAAGCAGCAGAGAGTTATGTTTTTGGCACCAGTCAATTTTGAACACTAGAAGTACCATAAATGAAATAATCATCCCCTCAGATCATGAGGGAGGTCAATGAAATCAGTGGGTAAAACTAAGTGCACACCTGAAAACCTTTCACAAATAGATTCCAGGTCCCACCTCAACTCGCTGAACCACAGTTGCTTCAGGAGAGGATGGTGCACTTGTGTGGGTGCTAACTCTCCGGGGTGACTCTTAGAATGATCATCTTGGGGACAGAACACAATGAGATGTATAACTTTTACCCAAACACAGAAGGAGGACAGAGCAGAAGCACAAGGGTGTTTCCAATGCAGTGACTAAAGCAGAGACCTGTTGGAAGACTCTAGAGTTGAAGGACTAGGCCCATCTGACCCCATTTTAGTCTTGTCCAGTTTACAGCAGAGACACGAGTCCTTGGGGACACATGCCTGTGGCAGCTGACCATGCACCTTGAGGAAAGTGAGAGGCCTAATTTTTAATTCAGTCTGGTTTTGAGTGAAAGCTAAATTCACCCTTGTTTGCTCATTGATGGGACCAATCTTCTCCAAGCCGCCACTTTCTAAAAAATAAATTGCATTGCTATAAATACAAACTTCAACAACGATGTTTGTTAGAAAATTTTATAAATACCCAAGCCACCTAACAAGTACCCAAAAAGTTAGCAAGAGCATTCAATTTCAGGAGAGTTCGGCCCAATAGAGCACAGTCACTGAGAGAAAAGATTCTTGAGTTGAAAAGAAGTGATCCCTTTCTGTCCTGGGACATCCTGCTAACATCAGTGGGTTGGGAAAGCAGCTGCCCATTCTAACAGATGGGATTCTTAGGTGGCGCTAGTGGTAAAGAACCCACCTGTTAATGTAGGACACGCAAGAGACATGGTTTTTTGTTTTTCTTTTTATTGTCAAATCGAAGGTCAAGTTTACATTTAATGACTTAGGTATTAACTATACACATACTAGTAAGTGCTAAGACTTAAAATCTTCCGATTCAGTTGTGACTCCAGACGGGATCCAGAGAGGAGGTCTAAAAATCTCTTCTCTGGGTTTTTTGGAGTCTTTCTTTACCCTCCTGTGTTAGCCTCTTAAGGCACTGCGTCAGCCTTAAGAGGGCAAAGGAAAGGGCGAAGGAGACACGGTTTTGATCCCTGGTCAGGAAGATTCCCTGGAGGAAGACATGGCAAGCCACTCCAGTGTTCTTGCCTGGGAAATTCCATGAACAGAGGAGGCTGGAGGCCTACAGTCCATGGGATCACAAAGAGTCGGACATGACTGAAGCAACTTAGCACAGCACACAATCTGACAGACAGGCTGCTCTTGCCTCCAGATGGTGTCTGGTGTCCTGAAATACATTAAGCGCTCAGGGAGCCTTTAAAAGGGCCCAGCCATCACTTCTGCTATTGCTCAGTGCATAGAAATGGTTTAGTTGAAAAAAGGTAGGGCTCTAGGGATAAAGTCAGGTCACAGAGAAAAAGAGGAGTATGAAATGGGATAAAGGCAGGATAAAAACAATAGAATTCTCCTACCTCCAAAATGCAAAGCAATAGCTTACTTGCCTTGATGAAGTGGTTTTTTTTTTTTTAAATTTTAACTTCGGTTGAATAAATTTTTTAATGTACTTCTTCTACAATGATGTTACCTTGAATGATTACGATCAAAGAAAGCTTCATAATATGTGTGCAATGCCTGGCACGGTATCAGTCAATGAACTGTACCTGTTACACACTTCTGCTAGCATAGCAAAATTCATCCCCATTTGACCTCAAGTCAGATACCTTCTGTGAGCTTTTTTGGTTTCATCCTATTTATAATGATGAAATTTGACACATTTTTCTTTCTCCCACAGAATGTCAGGCCCCACAGCAACCAGAAAATAGATTCCCTTAAAGCCTTTGCTGAATCTGACACACCAATTATCATTAAGCATTGTAGTTGGAGGATTGTGTGGGGGTGTGGGGAAGATAAGCTTTCATAAATAGTTGTTCCAGTTTTCTATCTTTTACCTTAACATGAACAAATGCTCAGTGGCCTGTTGTCACACCCATTTCACCCTCCATCCAGGTTAGACCAACAGCTAACCTGAAGAGATGGATGCTATAAGGGTTCCCCGAGTCTCAGACTCATAAGACCCAGGTAGGAAGAGATGCTAGGGAAATGAGGAGTTGGTTCAGACCATCACTACCCGAGGGCCTGCCTGTATCTCTTTCTTCAAACTCAGCTTCTATGTCACTGAACCCAGTGCTTCTGTTCACTTTGGATCATCATGACCCCTGACCTATGACCTTGAACTTAACCATGCTCTGTTTCTGGACTACAACCACAGGTCAATGGCATGAGGAAAACTCATAGAGATGGGTCAAAGTGTGTGCCACAAACACTGCTCTGGAGCCCTGGTCTGTTCAATATGTGGGTGAACTGAATGAACACAGAACGATAGCACGAGGCTGTCAGATCTTTCCTAAACAGACAGGCACCCCATGTATTCAGTGGCTCAGTGGTAAAAGAATCAGCCGGCAATGCAGGAGACACAGGAGATGCGGGATCGATCCCTGGGTCAGGAAGATCCTCTGGAAGAGAGCAGGGCAACCCACTCCAGAATTCTTGCCTGGAGCATTCCCATAGAGAGAGGAGCCTGACGGGCTACAGTCCTGGGATCGCAAAGAATCAGACAAGAATGAAGTGATGGCACAAGCATACCATGTTTTCGAAGATAAACACTTCTAGTCACTTTGACAGCTTGGAAAGAGCTCTTGTGAGGCTACAGTGAAATACATAAGTGAAAGTATGAAATGCAGTGTTTAGTAACATTAAAAAAAAATCAAATAAAACAACCCAGACCCAGAGGAAGAATTCAGAAAGTAGGGATGTCAAATTTCAGTTTATTCTGTAGACAACATGCGGCCCAGCAAAGAGAAAAAAATGACATAACAACAGGATGCAGCAAAAGCACTGAGATGGAACAGAAAATATTTTTTAAAATTCTTTATTCACTTAGTATTGTACTCTGATTTTTATCCTACAGTTTTTAGGACACAGACTAAACTGGAGAAGACACAGGGAAGAAGTTTATGACATCTACAAGTTTGACATTCTTCAGTTGTGGAAAAGCCTTAAGATCTGTTTAAAACGATGATATTAAAAAGAAACAAAACAAAACAGAAGATGAGGTGATATGGTTTCTCCAGTAGTCTTGTATGCATGTGAGAGTTGGACTAAAGAGAAACCACCTGCCGAAGAATTGATGCTTTTGAAATGTGGTATTGGAGAAGATTCTTGAGAGCCCCTTGGACTACATGGAGATCAAACCAGTCCATCCTAAAGGAAATCTATCCTGACTATTCACTGGAAGGACTGATGCTGAGGCTGAAACTCCAATAGTTAGTCCACCTGATGCAAAGAACTGACTCATTGGAAAAGACCCTGATGCTGGCAAAGATTGAAGGCAGGAGGAGAAGGGGACGACAGAGGATCAGATGGTTGGATGGCATCACCGACTCTGTGGATGTGAACTTGAGTGAACTCCAGGAGTTGGTGATGGCCAGGGAGGCCTGGCGTGCTGCAGTCCATGGGGTTGCAAAGAGTCAGACATGACTGAGCGATTGAAATGAACTGATCTGAGGTGACTTTATGACAGCCTGACAGGAATTAAGGCCTGCTGGCAAAGTATTTCTCCCAGGAATATTTTTATACACAGAAGAATGAACAATGGGAACTCAGCTTATATAGTTTATGGAAGGACATAGGTCAGCGGTATCGGGACGTGTGTAGACAACACAAGAGTGCTGAGGGATTGGGTGCTATCAGTGGTGATGTTCACAATGGTCATGGCCTAGGCACTTGGAAGCCAGGGGCCGCCAAGATTCCATGAACCCCTCCCCCTACCAGTTCTGTTATGGCAACTCCAGATGGTTACCTAGCACGCTGGGTCCCCCTCCTTCACTCCTGTCTTAGTCTGAGCCCCACACAGCACCTGTGGCTCTGAGCTCTGGCATCTTCAACTTCTTTTTGTGGTTGAGAACCCTCTAGTTGTTCCCAATAGTAAATCAGGAAATCCAGTTTGTGTCATCCCTTGGTGCTGGTGAAACCAATGTGACGCTGCTTGTTTGACTCCCCCATATCCTGGGAGTCTCCTCCCCACCCCTGGCTTCTACCTCTTCCACCACATGTCACCATGGCAGAGTGTCTTCCCTCTTTATCGGATCTGAGGGCAGAACGTACCCTCGCAGAAATCAACCAGGAGCTTCAGTTGCAGCTGGAAAAGTACAAGCAGGACTTCAGAGACCTCACAGAGAAATTCCTCATATCCCAAGCGACTGCTTACTCCCTGGCCAACCATCTGCAGAAATACAGTAAGTCCTTGGGATCATGGTCACCAAGGCAATGAATGATCACTGTCTTCCATCTAAGAAACTAAGTCTCCCATATTGGTCTCCTTTTCCCTTTGTCATTTTGAATTCCATTCTGACCACGGTGCAGGAAAGGTAGTAGAGTGGCTCTTTTGCCTTCAGTTCCCTGAGGCTGGGAAAACTGAGGCACAAGAAGTGGAGGCACTTTTCCAAGTTTTTAGTGATATGTAGGGTAAGATTCGAGTTAAAATTCCAGACAGTGATTCCTGGTGCCGGCACAGGATTGCCTGTGTCTCTCAGCTGCAAACTGAGCTGTGTTGACTGGAATCTTTTCTGTTCTGTATCTGATCCTGCACACCTCTTGGCTAAACCTCTGGGACTCCATCGGTTTGAGGTTCCCTGAGGTTCCATTGGCAAAGCCCTGTGCTATTTGCACTGGGGTAATGCCTGGTTACACACTGTGAGAAGCAGGGGATATGATTTAAAGGAGCTTAAGGATGAGTCTGCTTCTCACTGAAACCATGGTCTCTGTGAGGCCATCAAGACAGGGACTTCCTGGTGAGAAGGAAGTCATGCTTTCTGAGTGTGCAGGTTCTCCTTTCTGAGTCCAAGAAAGCCATGTGACTCTGTGGCAAGAATGAAGGTGTTTCTTGTTAATCAGACAATCTGCACTTTCCCCTCTCTCCCCACTTGAGCTGGTGAAACTTTGGTGACTCAGGTTGACCAGGAGTCCGGGGGACCCTGAGCCTATGCTATAAGATGTGTGACCAACATGAGGATGATGGTAAGTGGGGGCAGATCACCAGCCCCAGTAAAAACCCAACAGAGTGTGAGGAGGCCCTTTGCGCCCACGGTCAGCCGGCAATTGGAATCATTTTTGCCTGTTCAGTAAGAGGGGCCTGGAGTAAGGAAAGAAATCATGACCAGGGTACTTGCACAACAAGGGGATGAGCAGAACCTTGACAACCTGTGTCTGTGTCACTTTCCTACAGTCATTTTCAGTGAAGCGATGAGGGAGTCAATGAAAAATGACTGACACAGAGAGCCATAAGTGGTAAAGCCTACTATTTAAGAAAGTGAAATGATGAGCTTTGGGGAAAGGACAAACTAAGTTTTATTTACACTGCTCCTTGTAATAGTCACAAAATTCTAGGAAAGAAATTGGGAGGCTGGTGAAGAAGAAATGTCTCACCAGGACTCTGGTGGGAGGTCACCGCAGCACAGTGTGAAAGACGTGGACTCTGGGCCAGGCTTCCTGGGCTCACATCCCTGTTGGGAACCTTTCTGTGTCTCGCTTTCCTCCTCTGTCCGTGTGGTGCTGTAATAGTAACTCTTGTTTGAGTTGTAGTGAAGACTGAGTAAATCTGACAAAGCCCTGACAGCAGTGCCTGGCTGAGTGTAAATACACTTAGTTCACAGTTCTACTGTTCCTAATGACACAGGCTTCCTCAGGGTTTGGGCCTATCTCTTTCAGGTCCTTATGGTGTCACGTATTCTATTTCACACCAGTGTGTCCAGGTGAGGTTTATACTTGAGACACTCGTTCGTTACTGAGATCCCAGCATGAGGAGACTGGAGAAGGAGTTGCATCCACCACTGAGGTGGCCCATCCTCCTCCCTTGAAGGCAGTGACCACAGCAGCAATGCTGGCTTTCCCTGAGGCACTGTCTGTCTTTCCGCAGAGTGTGACGCATGTAAGGACATCGTTGAATCCGTGCTGGGGGAGAAGCTGCCGGGTGAGGCGCGGAGGCCAGCAGAGAAGCTGGCAGAGAAGCCAACGCTTGACGAAAGGTTGAGGTAAGGAGGGCAGGGATGTTCATGGCAGACACAGGGCACACTATGATAAAATAGGTGCAGAACACCAGGTGGTGAATTATGGACTCCAGTTGCTCTTCAGGAGGTAATTTACTTTGCTTTTAAATAAACGAGTGACTTGAATCTCATCAGGAAACTCACTACATTCAAGTGAACCAGTGGCACTTAGCTCATTGACAGTGTTGTGCCATCGGCACCTTATTTGCCTTTAAATCACAACCGCCTCCTGACTGACTGCATCCTGGAATGCTTTCTTGACCCTGTCATTCTTCTGTTCTTCCCAGTTCACACTAGCAATACGTGTCCACATTCCCTATCTGGCTGTGTGTCATTCACTGGACAGTACTTTGTGTTGCCACATTAAAAATACAGACAATAAAAAAATAAAATAAAATAAAAGTACAGGAAATATTTTGTGTATTTTTTAATGAAAATGGGCATGGCTGAGTGAGGAACTGAAGAGACATCTTCATGATGCAGATTTAGGAAGACATTGATGCATGCATGTGCACTAAGTAGTGTCTGACTCTTTACGACCCCATGGACTGTAGCCCACCAGGCTCCTCTGTCCATGAAGTTTCCAGGCAAGAATACTGGAATGGGTTTCCATTTCCTTCTCCAGGGAATGTTCCCGACTCAGGGATCAGACCTGCATGTCTTGTGTTTCCTGAATTGTCATTCACGTTCTTTACCAGCTGAGACACCAGGGAAGCCATTAGCTTACCTTTACAGAAGGACAAGATGAATGGAATGTCACGGAATCTTACAGGAGTACTGTCTGATACAGAGGAAACCTTTGTCTCCCTTCTTTCTCTTTGACATAGGCCAGTCATCAGACATGGAGGAGGAAATGGCAACCCACTCCAGTTTTCTTGCCAGGATAAGCCAATGGGCAGAAGAAACTGGTGCACTATACTCCATTTGATCGCAAGAGTCGGACACAACTGAGTGAGCGAGCCAGTCATCAGATATGTGCCGGAATTCTGTTTCGAGGTCTCCTTGGGGATGTTCTCACAGAAATCCCTAACCGTCTTTCATCTAACTCTTTGCCTTTTACAATTGTGTCTTCTGTTCCACCTAGAACATGTGACATCCTAATTCGAAGTCAGGCACGAGAGCTGACCCAGCTACGGCAGACACTACAGAACGGGAAAGATGACTCTGCCCTGCTCAAGCAGCACCTCAAGGACCTCCTCACCCACAGTGACCTGGACAAGCACCAGAGACAGGGCTTCCGAGAGAGCCTGTCTGAGGGATACCGCTTGGCAGAGCGCCTTGCCTGCAAGCTCAGCCCAGGTGAGGGGGCCACAGACCCTGAGAGCACTGATCCTCTGCTAGGTCCCCAGGTGATAAGATGAACACCTCCACTAGGAATGTTTATCAGCTTTCCTGTTTCATATCCTATTTGGGGCTATGTAGGAGCAGGATTGTCTTAGTAAGAGGACAGAGGAGAAATGCACAGGGTGGAGGCCATCGTATCCCAACGGTCTGCTTCCTCCCTGATGGACCATGGCCACTGGGGCAGGAGGCGACATCCAGCCAGCATTGAAGCGCAGAAAGGAGGAGGTGACAGGCAGCTTGGTAGAGTGAATAGAGCCCTCGATGAAGCTTGGAAGTTCCCAGGTTCCAGGCTGAGTGCTGTGTTGATAACTGTGTGAGAATGATTGCTTTTCCTTATGTTAGTAACTGTTCTCATCTGTAAATTGGATGAAATAATCTGTGGATGGTAGCTCTAGTGATGAAATTTGGGAATATTTACAAATACACTGCAGAAAAGAGAAAACCCTTCACTTTGTGGTGTTGGATAAGGTACTTGATAGAGTTGGACTTGGTGTTGGGAAAATGGTTTAAACTGGAGCACTCACTTTCCATGGAGAGTTTCCCAGATAACACACAAAAGCTACCTGAAAGAGCCAGGATGTTCCCAGATGGAGGGATGTGGGACATGGTTATTCTCCTTAGAGAAAGAAGGGCATCTTGTGAGACCTGAAAAGCTTTATGGAGCCTGTGTCTTTGGCAGAATTTGTGGCAGGATGATGATACATTTGTAGAAGTGGAGATGGGAGGTGGACAATGTGAGGTGATATAAGGAAGAAAAGGCAATTTAGATGTTTGCCCAATTTCAAGCAGAAGGTGTCCTGAGGATGATCTACCAGTTTAGGAACAGACTAGACTGCCTGTTGGATCAGAAATCCATGCTTGGGCAGTTGTTTAAAGACAATGCATGAAAACTCCCGTACAGTACTGACTCACACATAGATATTTATGACTCTGTGACCACACGAGTCCCTGTGCCTGTAGTGGGTGAAGGGACTAAAAGCTGACTGGGTATTTCTGATTCTGTTTGAAGAAATCGATGAAGATGAAGATGACGAACAAGCACAAGAAACACCAACCCCCAGGTAACGGTTATCTATCAGTTCAGTTCAGTCCCTCAGTCGTGTCCGACTCTTTGTGACCCCATGGACCGCAGCCCACCAGGCCTCCCTGTCCATCACCAACTCCCGGAGTCTGAAACTCAGGTTTATTGACTGACTAAGTGTTGCCATCCAACCATGTCATCCTCTGTGGTCCCCTTCTCCTCCCGACTTCAATCTCTCCCAGCATCAGGGTGTTTTCCAATGAGTTGGATCTCCGTATCAGGTGGCCAAAGTATTGGAGTTTCAGCTTCAACATCAGTCCTTCCAGTGAATCTTTAGGACTGATTTCCTTTGGGATGGACTGGTTGGATCTCCTTGCAGTCCAAGGGACTCTCAAGAGTCTTCTCCAACACCACAGTTCAAAAGCATCAATTTTTCAGTGCTCGGCTCTCTTTATAGTCCAACTCTCACATCCATACATGACCACTGGAAAAACCATAGCCTTGACTACATGGACATTTGTTGGCAAAGTAATGTCTCTGCTTTTCAATATGCTATCTAGTTTGGTCATAACTTTTGTTCCAAGGAGTAAGTGTCTTTTAATTGCATGGCTACAGTCACCATATGCAGAGATTTTGGAACCCCCCAGAATAAGTCTGCCACTGTTTCCTCTGTCTCCCAATCTCTTTGCCATGAAGTGACGGGACCAGATGCCATGGCCTTAGTTTTCTGAACGTTGAGCTTTAGCCTACTTATTCACTCTCCTCTTTTACTTTCATCAAGAAGTTCTTCAGTTCTTCTTCACTTTCTGCCATATGGGTGGTGTTATCTGCATATCTGAGGTTGTTGATATTTCTCCTGGCAATCTTGATTCCAGCTTGTGCTTCATCCAGCCCAGCATTTCTCATGATCTATTCTGCATGTAAGTTAAATAAGGAGGGTGACAATATACAGCCTTGACATACTTCTTTTCCTCTTTGGAACCAGTCCATTGTTGCCTGTCCAGTTCTAACTGTTGCTTCCTGACCTGCATACAGATTTCTCAAGAGACAGGTCAGGTTGTCTGGTATTCCCATCTCTTTCAAAATTGTCCACAATTTGTGGTGATGCACACAGTCAAACAGAGAAGGCAATGGCACCCCACTCCAGTACTCTTGCCTGGAAAATCGCATGGATGGAGGAGCCTGGTAGGTTGCGGTCCATGGGGTCGCTAAGAGTCAGACACGACTGAGCAACTTGATTTTCACTTTTCTCCTTCATGCATTGAAGAAGGAAATGGCAACCCACTCCAGTGTTCTTGCCTGGAGAATCCCAGGGATCGGGGAGCCTGGTGGGCTGACATCTATGGGGTCCCACAGAGTCTGACACAACTGAAGTGACTTACACAGTCAAAGACTTTGGCATAGTCAATAAAACATGAGTAGGTGTTTTTTTTGGGGGGGGGGAAGTCTCTTGCTTTTTCATTGATCCAACGGATGTTGGCAATTTGGTCTCTGGTTTCTCTGCCTTTTATAAAACCAGCTTGAACATCTGGAAGTTCATGGTTCAGGTATTGTTGAAGCCTGGCTAGGAGAATTTAGAGCATTACTTTACCAGCAATGTGAGATGAGTGCAATTGTGCAGTAGTTTGAGCATTCTTTGGCATTGCCTTTCTTTGGGATTGGGATGAAAACTGACCTTTTCCAGTCCTGTGGCCACTGCTGAGTTTTCCAAATTTGCTGGCATCTTGAGTGCAGCACCTTCACAGCATTATCTTTTCGGATTTGAAATAGCTCACCTGGAATTCCATCACCTCCACTAGCTTTGTTTGCAGTGATGCTTCCTAATGCCCACTTGACTTCACATTCCAGGATGTCCGGCTCTAGGTGAGTGATCACACCGTCATGGTTATCTGGATCATGAAAATCTTTTCTGTATAGTTCTTCTGTGTGTTATTGTCACCTCTTCTTCATATCTTCTGCTCTGTGAGATCCATATCATTCCTGTCCTTTATTGAGCCCATCTTTGCATGAAATATTCCCATGGTATCTCCCATTTTCTTGAGGAGATCTCTAGTCTTTCCCATTCTATTGTTTTCCTCTGTTTCTTTGCACTGATCACTGAGGAAGGCTTTCTTATCTCTCCTTGCTATTCTTTGGAACTCTGCATTCAAATGGGAATATCCTTCCTTTTCACTTCATTTCTTTTCAGAGCTATTCGTACTGCCTCCTCAGGCAGCCATTTTGCCTTTTTGCATTTCTTTTTCTTGGGGATGGTCTTGATCTCTGTCTCCTGTACAATGTCACGAACCGTCGTCCATAGTTCATCAGGCACTCTATCAGATCAGTCCCTTAAACCTGCTTCTCACCTCCACTGTTTAGTCATAAGGGATTTGATTTAGGTCATACCTGAATGGTCTAGTGGTTTTCCCTACTTGCTTCAATTTAAGTCTGAATTTGGCAGTAAGGAGTTCATGATCTGAGCCACAGTCAGCTCCCGGTCTTCCTTTTGCTGACTGTATGGAACTTCTCCACCTTTGGCTGCAAAGAATGTAATCCATCTGATTTTGGTGTTGACCACCTGGTGATGTCCATGTGTAGAGTTTTCTCTTGTGTTGTTGGATTTGGGTGTTTGCTATGACCAGTGCGTTCTCTTGGCAAAACTCTATTAGCCTTTGCCCTGCTTCATTCTGTACTCCAAGGCCAGATTTGCCTGTTGCTCCAGGTGTTTCTTGACTTCCTACTTTTGCATTCCAGTCCCCTATAATGAAAAGGACATCTTTCATGGGTGTTAGTTCTCGAAGGTCCTGTAGGTCTTCATAGAATTGTTCCACTGCAGCTTCTTCAGCATTACTGGTCAAGGCATAGATTAGGATTCCTGGGATATTGAATGCTTTGCCTTGGAAACAAACAGAGATCGTTCTGTTGTTTTTGAGATTTTATCCAAGTACTGCATTTCGGACTCTTTTGTTTACTATGATGGCTACTCCATTTCTTCTAAGGGATTCTTGCCCACAGTAGTAGATATAACAGTCATCTGAGTTAAGTTCACCCATTCCAGTCCATTTTAGGTCGCTGATTACTAGGATGTCGACGTTCACTCTTGCCATCTCCTGTTTGACCACTCCCAATTTGCCTCGAAACATGGACCTAACATTCCAGGTTCCTATGCAGTATTGCTCTCTACAGCATCGGACCTTGCTTCCATCATCAGTCACATCCACAACTGGCTGTTGTCTTTGCTTTGGCTCCATCTCTTCATTCTTTCAGGAATTATTTCTCCAGGGTTTGAAGCCACATCTCTGCATTGGCAGGAGCCACTCAGCCTCCTGAGCCACCGGGGAAGCCCTGATTCACTTCACTACTTCATCTTAAATTCAACATGGCTTAGGACCTGTGGGGAAGCACTTGGTGTGGAAGTTCATCTGTGCTTCCTGTTCCTGAAAGTACCATCCCGGGATGGTTGAGGCTCCTTCCTCATCAGAGCTTTGTGGTTGGTCTGTTGGGTACCTGCTTGACCCCCTCTCCCATTCCCAGACAGACACACTCCTCTTCATATAAGAGAGGACAGTTCCTTTTGTCTTGAAGGGGCCTGCTCTTGGACTCTCGGTGACCACTCGCCATGCCTCCTGTCAAATCCAGCCAGCATGGCTTGGGGTCAGATCTTCTTCATTTAATTTTCTGTCATTCCTTTCCCATCTGGCACAGCATGGAGCTGCAGGAGGTTGAAAAGAAGGAAGTGCATGAAGAATCCAAGGATGAATGTGTTTTGATGCCTTCAATTCTCCAAGGAAGTTCTGATAAGCACCAGCCTTACAGGGATGACAAATTTAACTCTAATGAACTGGAAGTAGACGTTGATCCGGATGGACCATGTGGTTGCTCTCATGCTAAAGAAGATGAAATTCTAACCAATATCTCAGGTAGACCCCATATTATTTCTCCCTACAAGCTGTGTAGACCAAGGAAGGTCATCTCCTAGGACAGGTTGTATAGACACATCTTCGTCGAAACCAGGGAAAAGGCTCTATTATGGAACAGAGATATCAGGTTTGTCAGGGAGCTTTCATTCTTTTCTTGGCTCCGGGCTTGCCTCTGTCACCCTGACCCCAGTGTCAGGCATTTGAGCCAAATCAGTTTTGACAACTCTCACCCACCTCAGCTGGAAATCCACAGGAGGTATCTGTCAGAAGGAGTTTGGAGCCAGTGTATTGTTACTTGCACTGATCTAATTTTTGTAAATGTTCCTGGCCTCTCCAGAAATGATAACGGACTTGTCTCTTTATAAGGAGAGGTGATTTCCAGGTTTTGTTTTACTGCTCTCAACCTCAGTCGCCCTTTGCTCGATGTTGGCAGGTCTTAGCTAAGATGTTATCTGACACCAAGAGAGACACAACCGAACCATAGCCTCGCTTGGATGTTGAAGCAAGGCTGGGCTCTGGCAGTTCCTCCAGCTTCAAATGGCCATGGTTTCTGTGTAGCATCAAAGATTCTTTTTGATTTGAGGGTTACTACAATTCACTGGGCTATCGTGGTGGCTGAGATGGTAAAGAATCTGTCCGCAATGCAGGGGACCCAGGTTCAATCCCTGTGTCATGCAGATCCTCTGGACAAGAGAATGGCACCCACTCTAGTATTCTTGTGTGGAGAATTCCATGGCCAGGGGAGCCTGGTGGCCTCTAGTCCATGTGGTCACAAAGAGACAGATACTAATGAGTGGCTAACGCTTTCACAATTCACCCACCACTCTAGTCTCAAGTATAAATTCCTCTAAACCGTCAACAACCACATAATCTGATGGGACTAAGCAGTACTATAGAAATAATTCTAGAAAATAACTCAGCTCATGTTCCAGCATCTCTGTGGAAAATACGTTTTTAACTGCTTATACAGACTCAGAACAAAGGATGTTGGGAGAGATACCAGATCAAGCAGCAAATTTCCTCAATGGCTCTGGAAGCAGTCCAGTCTAATTCTCACAAGACTTAAGTGTCCTAGAATAACTTTGCTAAAGAAGTATGTTCTTACAATGAGAATATTAAAGTCCTTGTTGTATATGTGATTACTGAGTAGATATGTGTGAGGTCTGATTTTCTTATTATGACTGGCTGTCTCTGAATTTCTTACTAGAGAATGAAAATGATCGCAAGCAAGTGAGTGGACAAGAGCTCACATTTCCCAGGTAATTTGAAGATCTGTGGGCTGTGAATGTCAGTGGTGACAGCAGGAGACGTCAGATCCAGAGAAAAATAGAAAGTAGTCTATGTAATTCTTTCATCTATTCATTCAACAGCAATTATCTCTTTAACAACCTTGTCTATTTATGTTTCACAAGTTTGTGGATTTCAATTTTTAATCCTTCAAGTTTAGTAATGTACAGTGAGTTGACCCAGGTGCAATAACCAAACCTAGGAGTTCCTGTGTTCATGTGCTTTCTCCTGAGTGGTTCATGTAGGGTGAAATCCTATGGTCTTACATTGGTTTGGCATCAGCATGATGGCAAATATTGGATTTCAAGGGAAGAAAATAGAACGATATTCATATTACAACAAAATATTGAAAAAAGAGTTCTTGAAGGCAGAATATCTAGTCTATAACTCCTTTTTCTCCAACTCTGAAAAACTGATTTGGAAGGTATATTTGTGCAAATAAAATTTTTTAAATTGAATGGAATAGAGTCGAAAGAGAAACAAATTTTTAACTTTTTAACAGCTGTGTTCACTTGGACACAGGATATCCAGATCAACACAATGTGTGCAGAAAAGTCTGAACTGCTGTCCCAGTCCTCTGTGCATGTTGGGCGTCATGACGATAGCATGCAGGGAACGTTCCGTTTCCTCCTTCAACCACAGGTTGTGTGGCCAGTGCCCAGAGAACCTGCTGTCTCTCTCCCACCCCAGGGCAGCCACACTCCGCTCCACATCAGGAGGAGTTACTTCCCTCCTTAAGGGGGCTGCCCTTTTGCTTTCTGTGACCACTCTCAATGCCTGTCATCAGAAGCAGCCAGATAGCTTGGAGTCGAGTCCTCTTAATCTTCTGTCCTCCCTTCTCCATCTGACACAGTGTGAACGTGCAGGATGTGGAAAAGACGGTGGTGTTCCCACATTCCCAGGATGAATGTCTTTCAGTAGCTTCCACTCCCCAGGAAGGTTCTGCCTGCAACCAGCCTTACAATGATGGGGAAGTTGCATTTGATGAAGAGAATGTGAAGTCTGCCGTGGATGGAGCCTGTGGTTGCCCTCAGGCTGAAGAGGATGAAATTCCAACTGGTCTCACAGGTAGTCTTCATTACATCTGTTAGTCTACTCCTAGAGAATTAATCCCCTTTAATAGACCCTATGCTTACATCCTGAAGCCTGGTTTGAACCAGACTCTATAATTCCATTTAAAATAAGACATTCTATGAATGAACTTTTCTAAGTTCACTGTCATGGGTGTCCCTGTGGTTAACCACTCTACCCAAGGTGGTCCAGCCAGGCTCACGTGTGCCTCAGCACCTGTGGCACAGAAGGTAGCGCTCAGGCTTCCTGATTTTGAGTGAACCTCTTATCTCACATGAAATGCTTTACTTTTCATTTCTGGGTAATGTCCCTGAGTTTCTACACCTGTCCAGGGCTTTTGGCAGGCTTGTTTATACCTTTGGAGATGTCACTACTTTAGTTCACTTCTATCAACCCATTGGCTCTCTCTTTTCCTTTGACATATCTTGTTCGAAGTCTTCTGCAACAAGAAGGTAAGCCTCACTGTCATCTTTTGGCATGTTTCTCTGAGCTAAGGCAGGGCCCTGGAACTTCCCAAGCTGATGAATGGCCACTGTTTGCAGCTTTGAGATTCATTTGACTTGATGGTGTATGGATTCCACTTCCATTTATCTCAGTGTGTAATCACTTATCCCATTAGTAAACAACATTTCAGATGGAAAATCCTGAATCTCATCGCAGGCGGAGGATGTAGCAAAGTTGTTCCCCAGGAACTGTGGGGAAAAGGTGTTATTTAGCTGTTTGCACAGACTCATGACCAGGATACTCTTCCAGTGACATAGGATATCAAGGAAATTTGCCCAATGGCTCAAGAAGGAAACCCAGTGCCTTCTTCTGAGGCTCTTTCTAGGGCCTCCTGGATGATTTCTGTCTCAATAGCCTGTTACCACATTGTGAAGATAGGCACACGATTGGGCGTTTTGAAAGGCATTTGCCTGATGACAATCTCCTGTGAATTTATTTGCAGAAAAGCAGAATGATCATGATGACCTGAAAGGACCGGAGGTGGTTGCCCCGAGGTAATTTTGAATATCTGTCGGCTCTTTGTACAGTCATGACATCTGCAGACCCCGATCCAGGGAAAAACAGAAATTGCTGAAGATATTGTGTCGTCAGTTTTGCCCACCATTATTATCCTTTTTCATAATGATCTCTGCTTTCACTGTGGTACTTCTACTATTTCCCGTTTCTTCTTTACTTGTCAAGTTTAAAACCCAAATCAGTTGACCCAGGTGAACTAAGTCAGAGTGATGCTTTTGCACTCAATCTTTCTATCAGGTGTGGTTTACAGAGTGAGATGCGTATCTGCTTTCTGTTTGGTGTCAGCATGCTGGCGTGTGTGTCATAGTAATGTCAATGCAACGTAAATGGAAGTGTGAAAGCCAGTGTTCTGTGTCCCTGTATGTGAGGCATGACTGCACCACCAGAGAGAATTCAGTCTGCTCATCAGCCTGTTCTTTGGCCAGAGCACTGAACCCCTACTGCTCTTTCTCTCTTCTGCCCCTGGGAAACCACGCTTTGTCTCACACACAAAACAGACTTTTCTCTCTCTGATGGATGAGACCCTTGGCGTGCTTCACCACTCAAACATTCCATCAGAACCAGATAGAACTGTACAGTTTCTGATCAGTCTTGGCTTAATCTTTTGCCCTCCCTCCCCCACCAGGTTCAGCAGACAGATGCCACAGATGGCAGAATATGGTGCCCTGCAGAACTCTCTGGATGACTATTATCTGACTTACTCGGGTCTTCCTAGCCTGGCACACACCTGCTGGTCTTATAGGAGCACAGCCATCTTCTCACCTGAGGACCTGGATGTCTCCTATGCTCGGGATGTAACCGGTGAGTATTTTCTTGTGACAGAATGCCACCTGGATGCCCAGGTAGACTCTGTGTGCTTCGTACTCCTCGCCTCTGGGCTGCTGAGATTTCTCATCCCTGTTGGAAGTTCTGTAGACAGTGATTTGAATCAGACTCTGTGGTAGAGTTTTAAGTACAGACATCAGGTGGGTCTGGGAGCAGTGCTGTCTTCTTCATTCAGATGAAGCCTATGGGTCAGGCCCCAAGTTAGATTACAGACCCAAGGCTGGAGTGAACCCCTCACTTGTATGTGTGCAGGTGTCTGGAGACGACTGTATTTTTTCCTGATTCCTGTGCAATGTCTCTTCTTGCCACAAGGCACCCATTTTCATACCCAAAGTGTCCCTTGAATTTCTGCGCCTTTCCAAAGGTGCTCAGAGCCTTCATTATTTGTTGCTCCCTGGTGTCACTGCTGTCATCCCCAGTGTTTGCTTCTCTAAATTGCTTGTCTTAGCAAACCAATCATCTGGTCCCCAGGATGCAAAGAGCTCTCTCGTCACCTTGGGTGTGTATTTCATGAAGCAAGGCAGAGCCCTGGCATTTTCCCACCTCATGAATGACTGAAGGGTCCGTGTAACAACTAGGATTCATGTAATTCGATGTTTTGTTCATTCCACTCATCATTGTGCTAAAGCAGTCAGCATATGACGAGAAAAGCCTGAGTATTAAGAGTATTGTGCAAGAATGCTGTGGGCTATTCCCCAGACTCTGTGGGGAAGATGAATCTTAAACTTTTACTGAAACATGGAAGAGAATACTGTGGTGAGGATCTACCAGGGAAGAGAGATATTGCCTGATGGCTCAGGAAAGTAAACCAAGGAGAGTCTGAGAGATCCAACTTGAGGCATCTGGAATATCCTTCTTAAATAGCCTGTCATCTCGTTGCTGATATAAAGGTCCCCATGGCAGTATTGGACGCTGGGTTATTAATTTACACGATGAGACCTGCTAAGTGTTTCTCAACGTGTCTGAATTTATCCTTAGAAAATCTTGCTGATCTTGAGGACGAGGAAAATCAAGACATCATCTGCTCTAGGTAACTATGGAGAAACATGGGTCTGACATCAGTGGTGACATTTGGTCATCTCAGATGCAGGGGAATCAGAAAGTGCTGAACATGCCTATTTCTTCCATTCACACCACCACAAATTGTCCCTGTCACAAGGTTGTCTGTTTTCACCCTTTATGAATCCCTCTCAATGATAGTAACTTGCAGTCAGTTGAAGCAGGGCTACTGATCAGCCCAGGATTTCTTGTACTCCTCTGTCCTCTGCTTTTCATTCAAACCAGCATGCCATACTTATCTGCCTCTGTCTTTGGTCTTAAGACCTTGGCAGGTATTTCGTGGCAAGCAAAGTAACGAGGAAACAAAATTCATGTCCCATCACAGTCTCAGAAAAATTGGTCTTGCAGACACAAGATTTCTAGGAGTCCCTTATGCTGCCAGAGCTGGTATTCATTTGCATGCAGCATGTATATTTCAACAAAATGTATGGTGCATTTGAAGCCGCCTTTATGTTCTGAGGGCGTGTGTGACATGACTATGTGTCCCGGGGTGGCTCCTCTCCTTCCTCCTGAACTCATTTCTTCTCTGTGCTCAGAGCATCTCATGCTCATTCTCCCTCACTCTCTCTTCCTTTCGCTTTGCAAGCGCCTTCAGGCCCCAGTTGGGGCTTGTGGGTGGGGGGATAGTTATGCCTCCCTTTCAGGGGACTCCCCATTTGTTTTTTCCAACGTGTCCCTTAACCCTCCCCTCAAAAGCAGCTATGGCTCCAGGTTGACTCATCCCTCTTGTTTCACCATCTGCTCTCCCAACCCCACAATCTCAGCATGGAGCAGCTGGTGGTAGAAGAGAACGAAGTCCACCTGGACACACTGGATGAATGTTATCTGGCTGCTTCTATTGACCATTATCTGGAAGGCTCCTGTCCTCCTTCTAGGAGGGTCTCCTTCCCAACAGAGAAGAGAGAAGTTTTCTTGGCTCTAGATGTAAACGGTGAGTACTCCCAGACAGGTTCTTAGGCTCGGGTCGATTAGAACTATGTTCTCAGTTTGAACTTTTAAAAGGCATCACGAGCCTTTGCATTCTTCTTGCCCCGGGCTGCCCTCTGTCACCTGAACTCATCTCAGCAGCACAGGCTTGTGGTATCAAGTCAGACCAGAGAGGGCAAGTGGAGGGATAAGGGCAGAATCTCAGCTACCACTGTCTCACCTGCAGGGATTTGTGTAACAGAGCTCTTTTTATCAAGACAAGAATCCTTATAGTCATGAAATTTTGTTGCTAATTTTATTCCTTGAATAGTTTCTGGCAAGCTCTCTGGCTTTGGATTCCTGATTGCAATCTGCTCCATATTTGTAATGCATGTTATATTGTTGCCCAACTCCAGATTCTTACCCCTTTGCTGCCTACCTCCCTCTGAAGCATTTAGATACTAGATCCTGAGCATCAAATCTGTCTATGCCCTGTCATTTCCGTGAATCCAAATATCTGTCCCTGTTGTTCCAACCTCTAGAAACACCCTTGTGTTTCATCCTTTGTGCAGCAAAAAGGAGTTTTCCATGGGTGGGTTATGATTTCAATGTGTTAAGCAATCTCAGTGGTATAATCTCATGGAAACTCTCCATAACCTGTGTATCTGATGGGGGTATTGACCTAATTTATGGGCCAGGTGCACTTGGGTAGCAGTTCATAGGGTGTGGAAATGAAAACCTAGTATGAAATCCTTCTTGGGATATTGTTTTGACTTTTTCTTTAGGAGAAGCATTCTTATTGTGAGGACTTTGATTCGTAAGATCATCTTGATAAATCAGAAGAAACTCCATTATATATCAGATTTTATCTGACTCCTTTTAAAATGATATTGGGCATATAAAAGTTGTCCGTCAATCAGTTGGTGCCTTTTCACCTTGGAAGCAGTTTCTTTCTTATTTCTCATTCTTCCCTGAGGAGCAGAGAAGCAAAGGCTTTCTCAGGATCACAGTAGTTCCCAAACCAGAAAGGGAACACACAGTTATTGTGCACCTGCTGTCCACATGCTCCTTCCTAAGCAAGCTCCTAGTGCACTATAAGCCCTTCAGCCCTCCCAGGCACCCTCTCAGGTAGCTGTCGTGTCTCACGGCGGAGCCGAGGGCACTGAGGATCAGCGGGTCCCTTCACTGGGCCCAGACTCCTGGCCACTGGCAGGTGGGACACTGAGCTCTCCTGGGCCCGACACCCTGGCTCGGGCTCAGTCCTCTCCTCTCAGCAGTCGGACCATCAGTGACTCAGAGAGGATGTTGCTCACGTTTTTCTCTTTGCCCTAACCAAATGATTGGCAACTATCTTAATCTTGAAGAGAAAGTTGCCAGAGGGCTGCAGAGAACCCCTGTGGTCCCGCACTCAGACCTGCCAGCTCCCAGTCCCTCTGTGCACTGTGTCCCAAGGGCAGAGCCGGCGGCTCCCCGGCCCCTCCAGGTGGAGCCAGAGCTCCACGGGGCTCTCTCTGGGGAACAGCCAGGGTGAGAGTCCACGCCGCTCCCCAGTCCTGCCCCCAGGTCACCTGCTGTCACGACGGGTCCAGGTAGGCCTTGAATTTGGCTGTGCTGAAGCCATGGAAAACTGTGGAGCTCTATCTCAGAAACACTGACCGCTGGGTGTGGGTTCCCGTGAAGAGGATGAGTGAGGCTCAGACACGTGACTCAGATCTGTGTCTGAGATGTTTGTGAGTGTGTGATATGACCCAGTCCTGGGAGTCCGTTGTTCACAATGGGCCAGGAAAGGCCAAATCCCCACAGATGGATTGAGATGAATGATTAGAATATCTCACTATACCGTTTCCATCCTGCGTCTGGTTTCGCATGATAACCTGAGAACAGTGTGAATAGCCATTATGGAGCCATGCGGATACGAGTAGTCAGGTCTACCCTGTCCTCTCTGTACAAGGAGAAACCCTACAGAAACAACACATACACTTGATTTTTAAATTACATCTTGATCTTCTATTGGAGGCTCTTCCCCACGCTAACAATACTGGGCAGTATTGTTGATGATTGATAAAATGTTTGGTTATTATATATTCTGTTAATGCAAAGAATATTCAAAGCATAGGTTTAATAAAACCCATTCTCAAGAAAGGCAAATAAAATTAGATGATGAAGTTACACAACGCTAATTAAAAACAATCCTAGACATCGACTTAGAATAACATTGGAGAATAAGGGGATAGATAGTTTTGACAGTTCTTTCAAACACCAAATTTGTTGATATACAAGGATTTACCCTTCAGCCCAATGTGAATTATCATAAAATCTGAGGAAGTGTCCTAAAACATGATGATTAATGTTTAATGAAGTTTGCCTGGTGGAAATATGAAGGGTACACCAGACTGAGAGAAGTGGTTTTGGAAAAAGCCCTGGAAGCTCACAGAGGCTCCTGGTACAGGGCTGGGGTCAGAAAGGGGCCAGCCTGAGTCCTAGGAGGATGTGCAGAGGGAGTTGTGGGAAGTGATGTTTCAGAAGAAAGGGACAGAAGACAGGAGCACTGGAAAGGCGGGTGAGGAGGTTCGATCTGTGTAGCAGGGAAGGGAGGATGAATTTCCATAAACTGAGGCACATGTGATAAAACAGGCTTGGGGGGTGATAAGCCAGGTGACCTTTGAGAGTCTGGAGAGGACGGAATCAGAGAAAGCAGTTGGAAGGAGGTTGGATGAATCTTTGATGAGAGTCAAACTCAGATGCTCTCTGGAACACTAAGAGGTAACAGACACATGAGAGACAGTTAGAGAAACAAACCTTGTTGAGGGTGTGGATGCATAAGGAGGTGAGAGGAGAGCCCCACAGCAATGGAGAGCAGGCCCTGGCGGCCGTGACCTCACAGCAGCCTGACCTGGACCAGAGGAGGGTACTTCGTGCCTTTGGTTAGCCCAGGTTCTGAGAATGTGTACTCATTTCGCAGTAGAAATATATAAACACATTTCATTATGAGCACTGTCGAGTCACCAGTGGAGGGACGTGTATTGAAGCAGTGTACTTATATAATCTCTTTAAAGAGACACAAAGGTGTTTCCAACAGGGTCTCAGCCCTCTCCCCCACTAGTTCTAGCTGCTAATACCACCCATCCCCATTCTGCCCCACGTGGGAATAGATTTTATTCTATATGTACATGTACGGGTGAGTGGAAGGGTAGACAAAAACTTCAAGCAAGGAAGTTCCAAAGGGTCTGGAATGTACTGTATTTTCCCAGCTCAAATTCTAGTAGGACCTGAAGCTTTCACGCCATATGTCTCTTCCTCTTCTTTTATTCCTGTGGGTAGATATCAACAACTCTTTCTCTCCCATGCATAGAGAGAGGCTTGTGTGGAACCTTCTCTCTAGGCTCCAAGACTAAGGCTAATAACAGAATAAGAGGCTTGACCTCCTGTGTCACCCAGACCCTCTCGACTCAAGTGGGTGATTTCTCATTTCAAGAAGTTGCAGCCTAACACCTGCCTTCTCCGCACCCCAGTCCCAGCCATAAATATGGCGCCTTCTTCACATTGATGTCTGCCAGTGTTGTCTGGGTTATTGGCTGGTTTCACTTATGGGCTAGGACAGCAGAAATGGGCATTCTGGGAGGGCTAGGCAAGAAGAAGCTTTCATTGGTCCTACTGAACCCTCTTTTCCTTTCAGGTGACGCCTGGGAGGACTGTTACCAGGAACCTGTGAGTTTCCCAGCGTCAGAGGTGCCAACTTCACAGGCACAGCTTCAGAAAAGCACCCACGTGACCGAGTGTCTGCAGTGGCAGCTGGACCAGCATCTTGACTGTGGTGACAGCAAACCCATTCTTGGTCTTTCTTCCATCAACTGGGCCTTTACCACCAACCCTGATTCTGGAAACCAAGGACCACTCTTTCTCGGTAAGAAAGAAAAGGGGATTAGAAAGCTCTGGTCCATGTGCTGGTCATCACAAAGCTGTGGGTGGAGGAGGCAGAGGGCCTCTCCCAAACGCGCTGTCGGCCCAGTTGAAACCCGTGACCCTCTACCAGAGTGAGGTGATCAAGAGCCTGGGACTTAGGACCAGC